TGGTAAAATGTATTCATCCATCATATTTGACATTATTATTCAATATCCCAAATTATCTACAAAATCAAATGTTTATATTTATGACTGTAATAAAGAATTCTCATCCGATTCGTTAGATGCATGTACATACAAATCTCCATCGTAAGCGATATAGTCTCCGATAGCAGTGACAGCACGCTTGTTACAGTGCTTCTTGGGAATAAGATATTCGGACGGTTAGAAAAAAAAAAGCTTGTTAACAAGTCTGTCCTGAACTTTAAGCTATCTATTTTACCAACAGATATGAATCGGATACGTCAACTCCCCACCACAATACCACGCAAACTGCCAAACATACCTGCGGTAATGCTCCACATACGGCTCTTCTTTCCAACTATTGAATCTGCGTCGGCATACAGTTTTCATCCCCTTCTGTCTCACTCTATAATTCTCGATCTTCTTATTCGTTCACGTGCTATCGCCGGGTCTACTAACAAAATCCTCGGGCCATCTTCTTTCGCACCTGAAAGAATGCTTTACCGGCTCGGGCTTTGGTGCTGTTGATGCTGCCTGGAAATAGTGATGGTGGAGAGGCTACAAGAATTTTTAACTTGCGCTGATGTGCCACAGTAGTCAAAACTTCTATTTTTAGTTGTACAGAATGTGCCATATATATATCCCATGAATAAATGCATGGCCAATTTATCCGCACTAACGATATCGTGACATTTACAATTGTATTAGACAGAGTCATGTAACTTACAAAAGATTCAATATAAACATTGCTAATCATTGTTTGCGATAGACTAGTTATAGTATTAAGATATCTATGCGAGACTTCCCGATCTGCATGCACAGCCCAATTTAGCACTTTAGCACGAATTTTATTAAAATACGTGACCTCACTTTCAACATCTACCTTTGCCTTTGCGTCCGGTTGGCACTCACACTCGTTATGCTGCTGCCCCCCATGTAATTTATATCCTTGTTCTTTCGCCGGAGTGGACGCTCTTCGTCTGGGCCCTATAATTGCCGAGCCATACCCCGAGAAACAAAAAAAGGTGATGAAGGCAGTTATAGTTTGATGGACGGACCACGGTTCCAGTGTGGTCTGCCATGGCAGCATGCTAGGGATTTCCTCTGTAATGGAGGTGACGGCGTTACTGCGGCTGGTGTACCCTAACCCTAACCCATGGTTTCCTGCGCCGGTTTTTCTTTTTCGCTAGAAGTTCTTTTCTTCTAGCTGGTGCGATGAGGTTGTGGTTGAGACAGCAAGGCTAGCACATGGGATGTAGAGGCTCTGTAGCGGTGCGCCGGAGTAATTCGCATATGACCCTTGATGTTAGATGTACAACTTGTCTGTTCTCGGGGTTTGCTGACGAGTGTTTGTGCTGATAAAGTAGCAATTCCGGTACGATGCTGTGATGAAAAGAAGCCGTTCTACTGATTTGAGATGTAGAAGAAAGAAGCTTCTACCTGAGCTCGTATCACGAAGATGCTCAGCTTTTAGGACCGCCCTGACATATATAACTATTTATTATTGTAATTATAACATCAATTTGTGCAAACTACGATACAATTAGTTGTCAATAAAGGTATTAACTATCAATATGATGATGACATTTATTTATTTAGTCGAGTAAATTGCATTATGTTATTTTGGTTTTTCGGGACTAGTGGAGAATAGAAGCTCCAGGTATGTCTTTGTCTTTCCTTCGGGAGATATAATAGACTCATTATCTTTTAAATATTCCCCAGACATTCCGGTATAACGAGCGTAATAGTAAATTCACTGTGGGTGTTCAATCGCTTGCCATTATCAAATAGCATAATAGTCGTATGTATATGTCCGAATTCCTCTTGAAAAGATTATCTATCCATCTATTATAAGTAACGGATAGCATATGCTTACCATATCTATTGAACTTTTTCTTTTTTTCACCATATTGATATATTAATATAACACAACGATAATCTCACCCTTATCAAGCCAATCGGTAATTCATAATATTCCAGCGATGAAGATTGATTTCGCGTTTTCGAGAATCAAGCAGATTGTTATAATACACATATTATATACAGTATACACTATTATGTCCCAATTCTCAATACACTATCATCGTGAAGGTAATATTAATAGTGAAGGAGGGCACATTTCTTCATGATTCTTTATGATGGTGATGTTCAGTGACTATATATTCTCAAAGTTTGATAACAGCATCCATCGAGAGTTCCGAATTCCTTTTTCGCCAAATAACAATGGGCAAGGCAAAATCGCTCCTTGTATGCAGCGGCCTTTTATATGAATATGTTATATGATGTTTTTGTCATATAAAATGTGCTTAGCATATAATTTTAAATTCTTTTTCCTCTTTCTTTTTATTACAGTACACCCATCGTTTTTATAATCTATGTGCATTTCTTTTATTTTTCCCGCATACTTCTGTGATGCTACGCTATAAACAGTGACGTATTCTCTCCTAAATTTCTGCATTTCTCCGACGGCGCAGTAACACCAGCG